CTTTGATTTAATAACTGATTGACCCTCCTTTGGCAGGAATAACCTCAACCAAACGTTTCCTGTAGTTGCAGATCAGACCTGCAGAACGATCTGGAGTAATTTTGGACCACTCCTCTTCACAAAATTGTTTCAGTGTAGAAATATTCTTGGGATGTCTGGTGTGAATCGCTCTCTTAAGGTCATGCCACAGCATTTCAATCGGGTTGAGGTCAGGACTCTGACTGGGCCACTCCAGAAGGCGTATTCTGTGCTGTGGCAGCCATTGTTTTGAAGAATTACTTGTATGCTTTGGGTCATTGTCCTGTTGCATCACCCATCCTCTGCGGAGCTTCAGTTGGCGGACAGATGGTCGTACGTTTTCCTGCAAAATGTCTTGATAAACTCTGGAATTCATTTTCCCATCAATGACAACAATCCGTCCAGGCCCTGAGGCAGCAAAGCAGCCCCAAACCATGATGCTCCCTCCGCCATGTTTTACAGTGGGGATGAGGTTTTGATGTTGGTGTGCTGTGCCTTTTTTTCTCCTCACATAGTGTTGTGTGTTCTTCCCAAACAACTCAATCTTGGTTTCATCTGTCCACAGTATATTTTGCCAGTAGTGCTGTGGAACATCCAGGTGCTCTTTTGCAAACTTCAAACGTGCTACAATATTCTTTTTGGACAGCAATGGCTTCCTCCGTGGTGTCCTCCCATGTACTCCATTCTTGTTTAATGTTTTCCTTATTGTAGATGTGTCAACAAAAATGTTAGCATGTGCCAGAGATTTCTGTAGGTCTTTAGCTGACACTCTGGTATTCTTCTTTACCTCATGCAGCATTCTGCGCTGTGCTCTTGCAGTCATTTTTACAGGACGACCATGCCTAGGGAGAGTAGCAACAGTGCTAAACTTTCTCCATTTGTAGACAGTCTGTCTTACCGTGGACACATGAACATCAAGGCTTTTGGAGATACTTTTGTAACCCTTTCCAGCTTCATGCAAGTCAACAATTCTTGATCATAGGTCTTCTGAGAGCTCTTTTCTGCGAGGCATGGTTCACATCAGAGAGTGCTTCTTGAAACCAGTAAACCCAAAACAGGTGTGTGTTTTTTAAGGGCAGGACAGCTGTCAGCAACACATCCAATATCATCACACTGATTGGAGTCAAGGTTGGCTCACTCCTGGCTCCAATTAGCTCTGGGAGAAGTCATTAAGCTAGGGACTCACATACTTTTTCCTCCCTGCACTGTGAATGTTTACATGTTATGTGCAATTAAACCATGGGAACATCTAATGTTTGTGTAGTATTATGTTCAGCAGACTGTGTTCTTCTATTGTTGTGACTTAGATGACGTTCAGAGCACATTTTATGCCCAATTCATGCAAAACTCCACGTAATCCCAAGGGGTTCACATACTTTTTCTTGCAACTGTATATATATATATATATATATATATATATATATATATATATATATATATACATATATATATATATATATATATATATATATATATATATATTATTCAGATTCCAACAAATCAGTTGTGTTTTTCTGGCTTTTGGCTCTGGAAAAGCACACTTTATTTTATATTTGTTGATTTTATTCTTTATTCGGTTCTTTACATCAACACTTGACAGCGAGTAAGATGTCAATTCGAGGTAAAAGAAAACACTGATATAAGTTTTCCATGAAACTGAGAACACCAATCATAGGATTATAAGTATGCAAACATTACGAAAAAAACTCTGAGTGAAAAACCCGCTAGTCCCTTCAATTAAACACTTTAAATGATAAACCCGGTATGAAATTAACTTTGTCATCACTTCCTTAACCATCTTCTACTCTCTTAATCTGCTGATCTAAGGTAACAAGGAAGCCAAACTTTCCAAAAAAGGAAGATGGAGGTAGTGGTAAGTCTGGAGGATTCAGAAAGGGTTGGTAGAAGGGCAAGTGGAAAAAAAACACAAGTAAGTAAGACAAAGAAAGAGAGAAGAATGAAACAGTGGAAATGAGGAAGACGGCAAGCAAGAAGCAAAAAGTAGATACCGCCAGGGGAAACGGCTCAAACATATCTGAACTAATCTTTTCAATCACTGTATCAATTTTATCATGATAAAAGAACTGGAAATTTGAGACAAAACTCATACGGTTTGGTCCGTTGACATAAAGTACCACCAAGGTCTCCAAATGGTCCTAAACTTCTCTGAATTAGGTAAGGTGAAGGAAGGATTTTCCATATAAAGTATCTCGTTTAAATTATCAAACCGCTTGAATTTAGAAGGCAGAAAGGGTTGCTTGCATAGTTGGGGCATACAGGCTTTGGCCACATTTAACATACAGTATAAATAGTAAGATAAGCATTGATTCTCTTTGAGATGGAGAAGGCATTCATACGCAATTTATATATCATGATAAAACCTTCCTAGACTCTCAGTCTTCCATTGCAGCCCAGTAAAAATGCTTAGATGGTGTGCAGCATGTCTGTGAAATATTTTGTTCTTTGATTGTGAAGTAATGAAGTGCATTTGCATTGTGTGTGATAACAATAATTTTAATGATTTGCTTTTATATAGAATTGTTAGAAATTTGAAGAATTACATTGGAATTTAAACATCAGGATTGCTATGGTTCAAATCTTGAGATTTTCTACTTCCAGAAGGTATGTAGTTAGTAAATGTTTAAGTCTTTCATATGTGTCTGTATGTGCAAAAAAATAAGTGTTGGTATCTAGTCATGATAACTGAAGCTAAACCACTGCAGTAAAGGTGTAAAAAACAAAAGCGTTTAGGTAATAATTGTTGAAGTCCAGCCAGACATGGTGGTCAAACCACAGTTTCCATGATGTCACTTACAGAGTTGGGAGGGCCTTAGCAGGGGATCTTCTATTTTACTTCAAGAGAAAAAGTTTACAAGACTAAAAATGAAAATACATTCTCACTGCCCCGACTGAAAAAATGAAGATTTCCCTGCATGTCTACAAACACTCTTTACTCGCCTTCTTCTGTCTTGTCCTACAGGCTGGTAAGGAAGTATGTAAGATGGTTCATTACTGGGGTGTTTTTTAAAAAAGTGTGAATTTGGGTTTGACATATGTATATTTTCAAGTGTCCAAGGACTTTCAAGGTAACAATAGACCAAAAGAAATGAATGTACTAGTAAAATGCTTTTTTGTTTTTTTATTTGGATTTAAAACGGAGTTCCGCCCATTTTTAATACTTTACCTTATTATATAGCCCCTGTGAAATAAAGCACAAGTTGGATATTTTTTTTTTTTTTATATTATACATACCTTTTAATCCACTGCAAGCCTGCAGTTCCGGTCCAGACCGCCTAGGCAATGACGTCATAAGGCGATTTGCAAGGTCTCCTGGGATGTCGTTTCCTGTATCCCAGGAGTCCCTTGGTTTCCTGTAATCGCAGGACTTGGAAATCAAAAATGACGTGAATGGGAGGTGTTTCAACCATTGTTATGGCAACCTGTACTGCACACGTTGCGCCGAGCAGTGTCTGTACTGCGCTTGCGCGGGAACAAGTGGTGCATGCTGGGATAGCCAGCAGCACGATTCCAGGAAATAAATACCTGCGGGCTTCAGATGCCCATAGCCATCAGGGTGCTTGCCTGCTTCCGAGATCCTGGTAAATGTTTACGATTTTCTAAGTAATTACCATGCTTTTAATATTGAATTATTCCAATTGTTAATGCTATTTGTAAGGTCATCGTGCATCTGCTTTTAACAAAAATTTTTTAGGGGGACTGGAGCTTCGCTTTAAATACCAAAGGGTAAAAGTTGTATTTTTTTTATTGTATGTCTTACTTGAAATTGCAAACAGCAATACATTAACAAACCATCCATCTCTGTCCATTTGGGCACATCGAAGAGAATAAGGATGTTTTGTAGGTCCAATGATAGACATATTTTCCTGCAAATTCAACCCAAATTGTCAATAGATCTTCAAAAAGGTCAGACTTGTCCACATGGAGTGACTTTTCTTTGCATATTTAACAATGGATTGCGTTTGAATTTTCTGGGTGATATGCATTGAGAATAATTTGTAGAAAGTTTTTTTTTTTAAATTAAATTATATGAATTGTGTTTCAGTCAGCAATGTAGAAAGTTTTTATTTTCCCATTGATTAATGATCTTTTGAAGCAACTGCCAAAACATCACTTTAGAAAAACTCAGGCTTTTCTATCCATATTTTTTGTATTTATCCACCAGTATGTTTTTTTAAATAAAAGAGAGTGAAAATGGAATTAATGATGTAGGGTGGAGACACAGTTCTGAGAAGCATAGTTTTATGGAGAAACAGATTTGATATACACTATACTGTATTGCCAAAAGTATTGGGACGCCTGCCTTTACACGCACATAAACTTTAATGGCGTCTTAGTCCGAAGTGTTCAATATTGATTTGGCCCACCCTTTGCAGCTATAACAGCTTCAGCTCTTCTGGGAAGGTCGTCCACAAGGTTTATGAGGGTGTCTATGGGAAGGTTGGACCATTCTTCCAGAAGCGCATTTGTGAGGTCAGGCACTGATGTTGGACGAGAAGGCCTGACTCGCAGTCTCCTCTCTAATTCATTTCAAAGGTGTTCTATCGGGTGGAGGTCAGGACTCTGTGCAGGCCAGTCAAGTTCCTCCACCCCAAACTTGTTCATCCATGTCTTTATGGACTTTGCTTTGTGCACTGGTGTTGGAACAAGAATGGGCCATCCCCAAACTGTTCCCACATAGCTGGGAGCATGAAATTGTCCAAAATGTCTTGGTATGTGTACGCCTTCAGAGTTCCCTTCACTGGAACTGAGGGGCCAAGCCCAACCCCTGAAAAACACCCCCACACCATAATCCCCTCTCCACAGAACTGTATACTTGGCACAATGCAGTCAGGCAAATACCGTTCTCCTGGCAACCGCAAAACCCAGACACGTCCATCGGATTGACAGACAGAGAAGCGTGATTGGTCACTCCAGAGAACACGTATCCACTGCACTAGAGTCCAGTGGTGGCGTGCTTTATACCATTGAATTTGACGCGTTGCATTGTACTTGGTGATGTAAAGTTTGGATGCAGCTGCTCGGCCATGGAAAAAGGAAGTTTGGAGGTCTTTAGCTATTGACTCTGCAGACAGTTAGTGACTTCTGCGCACTGTGCGCTTCAGCATGCGCTGACCCCACTCTGTCATTTTACGTGGCCTACCACTTGGTTGCTGAGTTGCTGTTGTTTCCAATTGCTTTCACTTTGTTATAATACCACTAACAGTTGACCGTGGAATATTTAGTAGCAAGGAAATGTCACGGATGGACTTATTGCACAGGTGGCAACCTATCACGGTACCACGCTTGAATTCACTGAGCTCCTGAGAGCGACCCATTCTTTCACAAATGTTTGTAGAAGCAGTCTGCATGCCAAGGGGCTTGGTTTTATACACCTGTGACCATGGAGGGGATTGGAACAGCTGAATCTAATGATTTGGAGGTGTGTCTCAATACTTTTATATATACAGTATACAGTGGGGATCGAAAGTTTGGGCACCCCAGATAAAAATTTGTATTAATGTGCATAAAGAAGCCAAGGAAAGATGGAAAAATCTCCAAAAGGCATCAAATTACAGATTAGACATTCTTATAATATGTCAACAAAAGTTAGATTTTATTTCCATCATTTACACTTTCAAAATAGCAGAAAACAAAAAAATGGCGTCTGCAAAAGTTTGGGCACCCTGCAGAATTTATAGCATGCACTGCCCCCTTTGCCAAGCTGAGACCTGCCAGTGTCATGGATTGTTCTCAATCATCATCTGGGAAGACCAGGTGATGTCAATCTCAAAGGTTTTAAATGCCCAGACTCATCTGACCTTGCCCCAACAATCAGCACCATGGGTTCTTCTAAGCAGTTGTTTAGAAAACTGAAACTGAAAATAGTTGACGCTCACAAAGCTGGAGAAGGCTATAAGAAGATAGCAAAGCGTTTTCAGATGTCAATATCCTCTGTTCGGAATGTAATTAAGAAATGGCAGTCATCAGGAACAGTGGAAGTTAAAGCAAGATCTGGAAGACCAAGAAAAATATCAGACAGAACAGCTTGCAGGATTGTGAGAAAAACAATTCAAAACCCACGTTTGACTGCACGATCCCTCCAGAAAGATCTGGCAGACACTGGAGTTGTGGTACACTATTCCACTATAAAGAGATACTTGTACAAATATGGTCTTCATGGAAGAGTCATCAGAAGAAAACCTCTTCTACGTCCTCACCACAAAAATCATCGTTTGAACTTTGCAAATGAACATATAGACAAGCCTGATGCATTTTGGAAACAAATTCTGTGGACCGATGAGGTTAAAATTGAACTTTTTGGCCGGAATGAGCAAAGGTACGTTTGGAGAAGAAGGGGCACAGAATTTAATGAAAAGAACCTCTGTCCAACTGTTAAGCATGGGGTTGGATCAATCATGCTTTGGGGTTGTGTTGCAGCCAGTGGCACAGGGAACATCTCACGAGTAGAAGGAAAAATGGATTCAGTAAAATTTCAGCAAATTTTGGATGGTAACTTGATGCCATCTGTGAAAAAGCTGAAGTTAAAGAGAGGATGGCTTCTACAAATGGATAATGATCCTAAACACACCTCGAAATCCACAGAGGATTACATCAAGAGGTGTAAACTGAAGACTTTGCCATGGCCTTCACAATCTCCTGACCTCAACATAATTGAAAATCTATGGATAGACCTTAAAAGAGCAGTGCGTGACAGACAGCCCAGAAATCTCAAAGAACTGGAAGATTTTTGTATGGAAGAATGGGCAAAGATACCTCAAACAAGAATTGAAAGACTCTTGGCTGGCTACAAAAAGCGTTTACAAGCTGTGAAACTTGCCAAAGGGGGCAGTACAAGATAATAACTCAGCAGGGTGCCCAAACTTTTGCAGATGCCATTTTTTTGTTTTCTGTTATTTTGAAAGTGTAAATGATGGAAATAAAATCTAACTTTTGTTGACATATTATAAGAATGTCTAATCTGTAATTTGATGCCTTTTGGAGATTCTTCCATCTTTCCTTGGCTTCTTTATGCACATTAATACAAATTTTAGCTGGGGTGCCCAAACTTTCGATCCCCACTGTATATGGGATTTTGCAATGCCGGGTAGGGGGCATGTGCACTACGTGCATAGCAGAGCCATACAAAGCATTGTGCTTACAGTGAAGCACAAACACAACCCCTCATAGTGAAACAGCACACAGTTAACCCTTTGATCGCCCCAGATGTTAACCCCTTCCTGACCAGTGCCATTAGTATAGTGTCAGTGCTTTTTATTAGCACTGATCTCTGTATTGGTGTCACTGGGGATGTCAGTGACACCAAGTCAGTTCCCTGCAGTGTCAGAATGCCTGCTGCAGTCCCGCTATAAGTCACTGATCACTGCCATTACAAGTAAAAAAAAAAAACCCCAAAATACCCAGTATATATACCACCATTTGTAAACACTATAACGTTCACGTTAACCAACTAACTGACACCTATTGGGATTTCTTTTAGCAAAGACACGTAGCAGAATACATTTTGGCCTAAATTTATGACGAAATTTTATTTATTTATTTTTTTTTCAGGAAGGGGGGTAAATTTTCTGGAGGGCAAGTGATTAAAAGAGGGACAGGCACTCTAAAATAGAGACAGGTGGGAGGCCTACTAAAATGTAAGCTTTATAAAAAAAATATGCCGTATTAGTGTTTTGGATGGTATGGTTAAAACAGTCCTGTGGTGGTCTGGCCAGGAACTGTACCACCGTGTTCGAAAACCTGGGGGCAACCAAGTATTAGTAAGCCTGCTTGTCTTAAGGGAACAGGGCTGCAGAAGAAACACCAGCCAGCTATCGTTCATAGACTTTAGGCTGAGCATTACATTCAGCCTGGAGCAGGAATCTACAGATAAGAAACTTGGCAAAAGACTCACAAATAATTATTAGCTTTTTAGAAAATTGTATTCAGACTTGCTGGAAAATACATTTTAGGGTTTCCATGCACTTGAAGGTTTGAAATTACATCTTGTTTATGGAGGTACACTTTGCAAAGTATTTTTTTTAATTTTGTTCTTCTGCAACAGATGGACAGAACATTGTGGTAGAAACCCAGAACATTAAAGGTGAAATTGGGCGGTCTGTGACGTTAAGCTGTGGAAAGCCGGAACTCAGTACTTTCTTTGCGATATGGGCCGTGTCTTCTAAGAATGAGAACCTCGCTTATCATACACGTTACAAAGGCAGATTGGAGTTCACCAAAAACAACCTGGATGTTACAATTACAAACCTAACAAAGGAAGACTCTGGGACTTACTGCTGTACAGTGGAGACTGTCAATAGCAAAGTAAAGCAGCAGATAATGCTTGAAGTTGTACAGGCGTCAGTTTCTGAAGGTCTTAAATGTTCTGAAGGTACATTATACCAAATGATCAGATTTAATGGCCAAATCCTATGGATTATATAACACTGGTAGGGGTGCTGGAGTAATTGCAGCAATATATATGAGGGGGTCTTCAAAATGTTCCAATTAAAAAAAAAGTGCAGAAAACTTTTTTAAGAACCTTCATATATATATATATATATATATATATATATATATATATACACACACACACACATATATATATATATTTTTAAGATGTAATGAATAAAAGATTACCACTGTAAATATTCCCAGCAGTGTTACCGGTAACCCCAAGCAATGTCACTTTTTCTAGACAGCTCAGTCTGCATGGCAAAACAATACATACAGGAATTAGAAAAATCATATATTTAATAATTAAATGTATTAACCCCATAGAGTTGCAATGGGGGAGATTTACTAAAACTGGTGTACTCAGAATCTGGTGCAGCTGTGCATGATAGCCATTCAGCTTCTAACTTCAGCTTGTTCAATTAAGCTTTGGCAGTAAAATCTGGAAGCTGATTGGTTCCTATGCAGAGTTGCATCAGATTTTGCACTCTCCAGTTTTAGTAAATCAACCCAGATTTTTTTTTCATGAACAGTGGTCCTTTAAAGTTTAATTCCAGTCTTTTTTAGGTTTTGAATAAGTGGAGGAGATATCACATTTCTGTCTGTGTATTGTTTCTGTTGAAACAATTTTCCAACACTCCAGTTCCTGTTACACCTTGACAAGAAAAAAATGTCTTCACCAGGGAACGAAGGATCGGGTAACTATAAAAATATTGCAGGGGGTTTTAACTTTTAATTGTTCCCCACTTTACTTATTAAGTGATCTTGTCTGTATCCCCATTGGAGAGGATTCCCATCACTTCCTGTCCTGGAACATTTCTCAGTACAGACAGTAATAAAAATCTGACAGAGGGTCTCTAGCCTTTCCACCATTTATAAAATGCTGAATAAAACATTTTGGCTGGAGTAGAGCTTTATGAAGACCAGCATGCTGAACAATTTTATGAATTATCAACATACAAATATGACTCCCTCCTTACCAATTATGACAGATTCGGTGTAGTAATTTATAGTTCAAATTTTGCTCTACCTTCTGTAGATTTAAAACTCTACAAATTTGTATGTGGTGACAAACATCAATCTACAATGATTAAACATATATGCACAAGGAAAGGGGGAGGGGGTCTGGAAGTCCAAAATATCCACCATTACTATGGAGCCTTAAGTTCTGGTCTCCTATTGAACCTTCTCTTTGCCCCCCCTCCCAGCTTCATTTCATAACCGGTAAGATGGGGTTATCCATTTACAGAGGATACCCCACTTTATTCCCCAGACTTAAAGCGATTCTAAAGGTTCTTTCTTTTTTTTTTTTTAGTAAAAAAAACTGTGTGCAGTTGTTTTGCATGGAGTAGCCTGGAACCTCCTCTTCTCTGGTCCCCCGCAGGCTCTCCTGGCTCCTCCTGTCGGGTGTCCCAACAGCAAGCAGTTTGTTTTGGGGGCACCCGCTGCTCTGTGTGTCCATTTACACAGAGAGCCATGGCTTGGCCCCACCCCCCTCTCTCCTCATTAGCTGACTGGCTGTGAGTGACAGCAGCGGGAGCCAATGTCTCCCACTTGCTGTCTTACCTATGAGGAGGCAGAGACCCGGAAAAACAGAGGCTGCGTTCACTTTGCTGGATTGCGATGAGACTCAGGTAGGTATTGAGGGGGCTGGGGGGAGCTGCTACACACAGAAGATTTTTTACCTTCATGCATAGAATACATGAAGGTAAAAAACCTTGATCCTTTACAACCACTTTAACACTCAACCACAAAGTCCCACCAACTTTAGAACTTCTAAAACTCTTAATCCCTGATTAATACCTGCAGCACTGGAAAGTACTTGGTATCACTAGACTTCAGCACATTGTTTCCCATAACTTCTTAAAACTCTTCTCTCCCCTGCCTAAAAAAAAAAATGGTATGGCAGTCACTGATC